TAGATTTAATTCATATTAATTTGCACAATTGTATTCCTAATAGAGATATTGCAGTGGTTTAATTTGCTTTAGAATGACTTCAAAGTTATTTTGCACCGACATAAGAAATTTCAAATGTATAATAAATGCCACTGCATAATTAGTTCATTTATTCTTAAAAGAGGAAATAGAGTCATGAAGCAAAACAAGAAAACGGGACATGAAAGTCACAGTTTGCAAAAATGAGTGAATTCATTCTCTTTTTATAAGTTATTCGCTTTTCATTCTCTCTCAATAGTCGAACCAATTTCATTCTCTTTCTTATTATTGAGTCCATTTCATTGCACTCTATCAATTTTATTTCTCTCAACGAGTCAATCTATAAACAAGCACCACAAAATGTTAGTATGTTTAAGAAGATAAAATTGACCAAATTCAAAGAGCTCTTCATATGAATCCTTAAAACTAACATGCAAATTGCCATTTATAATGCTAAGAAATTTTTAAAAAAAATCTTATTGTTAAGAAGGGAGAAAAAATGAAAAATCATTTCTTGAATTTTGATCAATTAAAAGTCAAACATTATGATCAGTAGCCTCCTCCTCTCTCTTAAGCATTTCATCAAACATTTATCTAGCTCCATTCACCGTTTTGAAGCAACATTTTGATCATAATATGTAATGAAACCAAGCTCAATCTAAAATCCAAATTACAAAAAAATCTGAAGGTCAAACATATATAGGAAACACCTGTCAAATGATTTTTGCCAAAGAATATGAGCTAATAATACGCAACCAAATTAAAAACATAATCGAGCAAAATCTCAAGAAATGTCATACTGAAAATTTAAAATAATTAACAAAAACTTTAAATTCATCTTAGAAATGCTATGAAATGGATTCGCCAAAAGAAAGTCAAAATCCCAACAAAAGCGCTGTTTTATTTGATTTTTCTTTAATCTTGTTCTTTTACATTTCATCGTTGGAATATGGGACAATGCGAAGGAGAGAAATTTCTTGACCCTTTTTCTCTACTAGCTTCTTCGCTAACTTCTTGTTGTCCTTGCCATAACAATATTGTATTCTTGGATTGATTAAGAGAATTTGAAATAACATATATAAAGAGATAGGAAGAGAAGAGTTGAACTGATGAAGAGGGAGAGAGAGAGAAGGGTTTTGGAGATAGATTTGTAGTGATGAAAATAATAATAATAAAAAAAAATTTGCGGAGCAAGCAATGCTCTGCACAGTCGGGATCACGGTGCAGAGGGTTGGAAGCAACCCTTCGTATAGTGCGGAGAGTTGGTGACTTGAACTCTCCGAACTATGTGGAGGATTTTCTTTTTAATTCTCTATGGTTTTCTAACTTACAGAGGAAAATACACTATTATTTATCTATATTCTCTATCACCTGATATTCGTAAACAACTTAATTTAAAAACTTCATAGAATTAGGAAATCAAAGAGAAATCTAACTTCTAGGATTCAACAAATTTGATGATCACTTAATAGATTCTACCAGAAATTTCATATTTCTACTTAAAAAAAAGAAGAAGCTAAAATAAAAAATAAAAAAAAATTGTTCAAACTAAATAAAAAAAAAAAAAAAACTTCTCCGCACAGTTTGGAGAGTTCAAGTGAACTATCCACATAGTTTGGAGATTTCACGTGAACTCTCCGAACTGTGCTGAGGGTTCAAGTGAACTCTCTGCACTGTGCAGAGGAGGTTTTTTATTTTTATTTAATTCTCTATGGTTTTCTAACTTACAAAGAAAAATACACTATTATTTATCTATATTCTCTATCACCAAAAGACATTCGTAAACAATTTAATTTAAAAACTTCATAGAATTAGGAAATCAAAGAGGAATCTAACTTCTAGGATTCAAAAAAATTTTGATGATCACTTAGCCCTTGTTTGGTTCCCATTATTTCCTCATTAAAATAAAAAATATGATCGTTATTCATCACATCAAGCCACCAAATTTGAATTTCTATCTTTTGTGTGGGTCCCGAAACACCTATATTTTTCATTCACATTCTTCCAAAAAATGAGAAACAAACGAGGGCTTAATAGATTCTACCAGAAATTTCATATTTCTACTTAAAAAAAAAAAGTAGAAGCTAAAATAAAAAAATTGCTAAAAGTAAATATATATATAAAAAAAAAACTTTTCTGCACAGTTCGGAGAGTTCAAGCGAACTCTCCACACAGTTTGGAGATTTCACGAGAACTCTCCACACTGTGCGGAGGGTTGGAAGCAAACCTCCGCACAGTGCGAAGAGTTTAAAGAGTTCACTTAAACTCTCCGCACAATGCGGAGGAGGTTTTTATTTTATTTTATTTAATTCTCTATGATTTTCTAACTTACAGAGGAAAATACGCTATTATTAATCTATATTCTCTATCACCAAAAGACATTCGTAAACAATTTAATTTAAAAGCTTCATAGGATTAGGAAATCAAAGAGGAATCTAACTTCTATGATTTAACAAATTTGTCTACTTTAAAAAAAAAAAAAAAAAGAAGCTAAAATAAAAAAAATTTCTAAAAGTAAAAAATAAAATAAAAAATCCTCTACACAGTTCAGAGAACTCTCCGCACCGTGTGGAGGGTTGCTTCCAACTCTCCGCAGAACGCGAAGAGTTCACTTGAACCCTCTTATGAACTCTTCGCATAGTGCGGAGAGTTCACTTGAACCTTTCGCACTTTGTACTATGTGGAGAAGTTTTTTTTTTTTTTTAATTCTCTATGATTTTCTAACTTATAGAAAAAAATACACTATTATTAATCTATATTCTCTATCACTAAATTGCATTCACAAACAACTTAATTTAAAAATTTCATAGAATTAGGAAATCAAAGAGAAATCTAAGTTCTGGGCAACAAATTTGATGACCACTTAATAGATTCTACCAGAAATCTCATATTTCTACTTTAGAAAAAAAATTGCTAAAAGTATAAAAAAAGGGGACAAAAAAATCTAAAAAAAATAATAAAAAATACTGTGGCGCAACTCCGCACAGTGCGGAGCAAATGTTGTTGTTTTTTCTCTTTTCTAAATTTTTTTCTTTCTCCATTCATTATGGCATATGGCAATGTTAAAATAATAGTAAAGAATAAACTAAAATACACCTGAACACACTCAAATAACTGGCTGCTTATAGAATATGGACAAAACCAAAATCTTTTTTTTTTAAATAAAAATTCTCTAATTTTCTTCACCTTATTTGCCTAATCAACTTGAAGAAATAACATGAATGAGCTAAAACAGCTATATAATCACAGACAAACAAGAAATCTACGTTATTTACCTTTCAACAGAAGAAATAAAAATAAAAAAACGAAACATCATTAAAAATTCAAGATCAGAACTCACCAAACTTGAATGGCTAAAGACGTGGGCTTTTTTCTAACCCAAGTGATCCATTAGAACCACTTCATCTTTTGCCATAAATCCTGGCTTGTCTCGTAAAATAAAATAAAATCCTTAATCTTTTGAAAAAGATTAAAATGGACCCTTCTAAAAAAAATCGAAGTAAAACCACACAGTAAAATCAAATCAACATACATTCAATTCCTAGCAAAAATCTATATTTACTTACCAAAAATTGTTTCAATAATTCTTTCGATTGTTCTATGATGGAAGCTTCAAACCTCTATAAAAGAAAAATAAAATAGAGGGTTAGGACTTCTAGAATGTTAAGCACTGAGAAGACGAAATCAAACATCATATAGACAAAATATTTGGAAAACGAAACAAAAGAAAAGAAAAAAAGAAATTAATAGAAGAGAGGGGAGAATGAAGGAAAGAAGCATGGGAGGTTTCTTTAAGAAATGAAGGAAGACAGGGAAAAATGACTGATATGAATGGTTGCGTGAAGAATGCGTGAAGACCAAAAAATAAAAAAAAAACATCATTTTGCATTTTGTACAGTAATATGGTATTCATTTACTGTTGAATGAATAGTGCTATTTCCTTCCCATTTTTAATAGAAGTTAGATATAATTCCATAGTGTTCAAATTTTGGAGAGAGAAAATACTATTTTTCTTCTATGTTTGGTTTTTTGATTTAATTAAAAGAATGTGCCCACTCATTGGTGTGGTTTTAATTGTGAAGAATACCATAGAAGACTTGGAGGTTTGAAGCAACAAGTTCTTGACATTAAAAAGCTAGAAGTTCGTGATTCAAAAAGTTAGAAGTTCGTGGTTCAGAATTAATTCTAAGATTTATCATCTAATTTAGGTAAAAATTCAAATTCTTTATTTTTGATATATGGTACACGTGAATATCTAAACGATCTTATTTATTGAATTAAATAAATTTATAATTTCTGGATAATTCCGCTTCCACATTTCAACAACAAGAATATTTCTTGGTTTCACATCTCTATGTACAATTCCAAACTCATGCAGATACTGCTGAGCTTTTTCTGGAAAAAATACGACGAGCAGGTATAAAAATTAGATAAAATAAAAAGAAAAGAACAGTGCAGAGACTAAATATAGTGTTCGAGGAATGGGGAATTAAGGTGGGAAACGACAGTGTCGTCAAGAAGGATCCAAATAGAGAAGGAAGACATTCTTAATTAAGATTTATACATTCAATATTGCTGTGTTCAAATTTACACCTAAAAGAATATCAGAAACTCAGCACCTAATTTATTATTCCACCTACTGCTGCTTCATTTCTTGTTAACTATCCAATTTAAAATCTTTTGCATCCTTCCAAAACCTCTCTGTGGCATTTTCTCATAGGATGTCTGATTACATGGGTACAAAGATGAAGGATTTTAGTCATCAGTAATTGTGAATATCCTAATGTGTCAGCTCATTACCATACCTGACACGACCCATCCCGATCACCCCAATGGATCCGACACGTGTCGTGCACTGATGGTAGATACCAGCGAAGTGCCGGACCCACCACCAAGGCGAACTTGACATGCTTTGACTGTTATAATTTTATAAAAATTTCGGCAGAGTTTCCTCTGAAAAATGGACTAAAACCACCTGAAAATAAAACCAAAAATCCCAAACATATACACATACTTTAAAATAGGGTACACCGGCCCATCAAAATACCAATTCTTCAAGTAGTTGTACTGAAAAAGAAAATTTCCCTTTTTTTTTACCACCAAACCACTTCATTTCAAAACATACACAAAATATGCAATGGGTATGAGACTTAATACATTTTGACACAAAATACATTACTCCCCAAAATATATGTGGTATGAATTAACAAAATGAGACATACAAACAATGACACGATGAAGCTCAACTCGTCGAACGACAGGCTCTGATATGGCTCAACGTAGCTTCTATCTGATAAGAAATGAGATGACAAAAATATGAGCTTGCGACTCAGTGAGTGGATATTTATAAAAGTATACTTTAACATTTATAACACCTTTCTGAACACTAGTATATAGTAAAAATTCCCTTTCACAATACGTTAACTAAAATCTTCATTCTTTCAATTGAATCAACTAAATACTGTAAAATCTATTTCTAAAATCTGATAAGCTATGTAATACTGAAACATCACACCAAAAATGTACCATGAATAACCATACTCGTGTATCGATTAATCTCGATATACATAGCAAGGTCATTAAATCCTGAAATTCTGGTCATACGCGCGCAGAGCTATAAAATGGTCATACACTATGGAAACACATTCACAATAGTGCAGAGCGGGTAAAATCACTATACTGATCATACGCTGTGGAAACACATTCACACTAGCGCAGAGTGAGTAAAATAACCAGATGAAGTCATACACTGTGGAAACACATTCACACCAGTGCAGACGAGGTAAAATCACATGGGTACTTTCTAGTGGTTTTTAAAAATAACTTGAAATATTCTGAAATACGTAATATCGATAAAACATGCTAATGAAATGATTTAACTGAACTGAATGAAACTTTTAAAAAAAACATCTTATTGTAAATCAAATTTATTCTGAAAATCATGCTATCAAATCAACTGTATGAAATAATAGATTTTCTAATTTAATATAAATTGAATAAATACTTATTGCTGTAAAATTAATTTTCATCCACTCACTCAATACGAGCTACAGACTAGGTCGGTCGGTAAGCTTTGCCAATTTCTTCGTCACCACCTGTAATATGTAACAAAATGACTAATCAACCACTATTAAATTAAGAAACTTTAAAATCTACTTCTTTAATACTTAACTAAAATTGGTCGATGTTCGAATGAATTTCCCAAATATTCTTTTGATCAATGGAGCTAATCCCACTTTCTAATAACTAATTCATCAACAAAACCTTCTTCCCAAATTAAAACTAATTTTACTTTCCAATTTAATGAAACTAGTGACCATAATTCCCACCCATCTAATATACATTTGCTCCATAAAATCAACTCCCAAGTGAAATATTCCATTTATATTATCACTTCCACAATTAATTAATTAAAATCCCCAAAATCGGATTCTAGGGTTTCCAACAATTTCACTGCCTAAACACCTTATTAAAACTGAAACATAATTAATCCCTAAGCTTGAGCTCCAAATCGCACATATATCACATAAATTTAACATTTTATTATTACATGATAAAACCCTAAAAATTTTAATATAAACCATACTTAATCACCTAAAACAAATGGAAAATTTCAACCCAAACTTGAAGATATCAACTTCACCTTTTTTTTTCCTCTTCTTCTTTTTCTCTTTTTTTTTTCTTCTTCTTTTTCTCTTCTTTTTCTTTCCTTCTTGGCCGGTTCTGCTTCTTCCCGTTTTTAGTGTGTGTGTGTGTGTGTGTGTGTGAAATTGGGTGAAAATTTGGTCAAATGGTTGAATATATTGTCCAAAACCCAAAATTTGCATAATAAGTCCCTTAACTTCACTTTTTAGCAACATTTAATCCTTTAACTTCCAAAAGTATATATATAAATTCCAAACTTTTAAATATATCCAATTCAACCTTCATATTTTGCCAATTGCAAAATAAACCCAAATAAAATGATTTGATCAATCAAGTCCCAATAAAAATGATTTATTTCATACAAGTCCTCATTGGACTTGACTTTGAAAATTCCACTATTGACTTTGATTAGATAAAAATGTGGGTTGTAACAATCTTACCTCCATAAAAGAATTTCGTCCTCGAAATTCAACTGGCAACTGACTAGGCAATGAATAAACGAGGATATTGAGCACGCATCTGATCCTCATTCTCCCATGTAGCCTCTTCTACTGTATGATTCTGCCAAAGTACTTTAACAAGTGAAACTGTCTGGTTTTGTTGGGTTTGCACTTTCTTGTCTAAGATTTTCACTGGCTCTACTATATAAGTCAAATTCTCCTTCAACTGAATTGGCTGAGACTCCAGAACATGAGAAGGATCAGCAATGTACTTGCGAAGCATGGAAACATGAAAAACATCATGGATCTGGGATAATTCATTGGGCAGATCTAATCAATATGCAACTGGACCAATCCGCTCAATAATCTCATAAGGTCCAATATATCGGGGACTCAACTTTCCTCGCTTGCCAAATCTCAACACCCCTTTCCAAGGAGATAATTTAAGAAAAACTTTATCTCCTACTGCAAATTCAAGGTCTTTCCTGCGCTTATCCGCATAACTTTTCTGTCTATCCTGAGCTGCTTTCAACTTTTCTTTAATTAATTTCACATTTTCGGATGTCATTTGAACCAATTCCGGGCCTTTTAACTTCCTCTTACCATCTTTATCCCAACAAACTGGTGTCCTACACTTCCGACCATATAAAGCTTCAAAAGGAGCCATTTCTATAGTAGAGTGGTAACTGTTATTGTAATCAAACTCCATCAATGACAAAATGAGTATCCCAGCTACCCCTCAGCTCTAAAACACAAGCTCTCAACATATCCTCAAGAGTCTGTATGGTCCTCTCTGACTGGCCATCTGTCTGAGGATGAAAAGCTGTACTGAAATGTAGTTTAGTACCCATGGCTTCCTGCAAACTGGGCCAAAATTTAGATGTAAAACGAGGGTCTCTATCTGACACAATAGATAAGGGAGTACCATAAGAGCTCACTATCTCATCCACATACAACTTTGCCAACTTATTTAAAGTATAAGTGGCTTTGATCGGCAAGAACTTGGCAGTTTTGGTCAAACGATCTACAATCACCCAAATTCCATCATGACCATTTTGAGTACGAGGAAGACCAAATAAAAAGTCAATAGTAATGTGCTCCCATTTCCACTCTAGAATAGGCAATGGCTGTAAAAGTCCTGCTATTTTCTGACGAACTGGCTTTACTGCTGACATATAAGACATTTGGATACAAAATCTGCTATTTCTTTCTTCATTCCAAGTCACCAATAATGATCTTTCAATGTATGATACATTTTAATACTGCCTGGATGCATAGCATAAGCAGAACTGTAAGCTTCTTCCAAAATCTCTTTCTTCAATTCTGGAATATTGGGAACACATAATCTATTACCCATAGCCAGCGCCCCATCATCTCTAATCACATAATCCGTTCTTAACCCAGTACCAACTTCTGCTTTCAATATTCTCAATGTCTGGTCTTGAGATTGAGCTTCTCTAACCTTATCAATCAAAGTAGGCCTCACCTGAAAATGAGCTAATACAGCACCGGAAGTGGTAGCTGACAAATGAGCATGCAATTTCTTGAATTCACAAATCAAAGAAGCATAAACTGCACTAGCTGAAGAGGAAGAACTAGTCTTTCTACTGAGAGCATCTGCAACCACATTAGCTTTCCTTGGATGGTAATCAATCTTACAATCATAATCCTTAATCAACTCCAACCATCTTCTCTGCCTCAGATTCAGTTCTTTCTGATCAAATATATACTTTAAACTTTTGTGATCAGTAAATATTTGACATTTTTCACCATAAAGATAATGTCTCCAAATCTTCAATGCCAACACTACTGCAGCTAACTCCAAATCATGAGTTGGGTAATTTAACTCATGCTTCTTCAATTGTCTAGAAGCATAAGCTATAACTTTCCCATTCTGCATTAAAACACAACCCAATCCTTGGCGTGAAGCATCACTATAAATCACAAACTCCTCACCTGGAGATGGAAGAGTAAGTATAGGAGCAGAAACTAATCTTTTCTTCAACTCTTGAAAACTCTTATCACATTCATCAGTCCACACAAATTTGGAGTTCTTTCGAGTCAAACTAGTCAAAGGAAGAGCAATTTTGAAAAAATCCTCTACAAATCGACTATAATAACCTGCTAACCCAAGAAAACTCCGTACTTCTGTAACATTAGTAGGGCATTCCCATTTCATTACTGCTTCAATTTTCTGAGGATCTACATAAATACCTTCAGCTGAGATAACATGACCCAAAAATACAACTTTATCTAGCCAGAATTCATATTTGCTGAACTTAGCAGACAACTGCTTATCTCGCAAAGTCTGCAAAATAATCCTCAAATGCTCAGCATGCTCATCTCTACTGCGAGAATAAACTAAGACGTCATCAATAAAAACAATCACAAATCTGTCTAAATATGGGCGAAGCACTCTATTCATCAAGTCCATGAACGCTGCAGGGGCATTAGTCAACCCAAATGGCATCACCAAAAACCCATAATGGCCATACCGTGACCTAAAAGCAGTCTTTGGTACATCAACATCTCTAATTCTGAGCTGATGATAACCTGAACGTAAATCAATTTTCAAAACACTGAGGCACCTCTAAGTTGGTCAAACAAATCATCAATGCGAGGCAACGGATACTTGTTGCGAACTGTCACTTTATTCAACTGTCTGTAGTCAATACACAATCTCATTGTGCCATCTTTCTTCTTCACAAACAAGACTGGAGCTCCCCATGGAGATACACTGGGTCTAATGAAACCCTTATCAACTAAATCCTGCAACTGAACTTTCAATTCCTTCAGCTCTGCTGGAGCCTTTCTGTAAGGTGATTGTGAAATAGGGGTAGTCCCTGGAATCAAATCAATAGTAAACTCGATTTCCCTATCAGGAGGTAACCCTGGAAGATCTTCAGGAAAAACATCAGGGAAATCTTTTACCACTGGTATATCTTCAGGTTTCAATTTAGTGATCTGAGTGTCAATCACATGAGCTAAATATGCTTGGCAACCTTTTCTAAGCAATCTCCTAGCATCAAGTGCTGATATGATACATGAAGGTAGTATTTTGCTTTCACCACTAAAAATGATTTCAGGCTCTCTTGGCCTTCGAAACACCACTTCTTTGCGAAAACAATCAACTGATGCATGATTCACAGACAAAAAATCCATGCCCAATATCACATCAAAATCATGAATATCAAGTGGAATCAAATTAGCTTTCAACTCATGATCATTCACACTAATCACACAATCTTTGTACACACTGTTAGCTAAAAGTGAATCTCCTACAAGAGTTGCTACCACCAAATCACTATCTAATGATTCTGACATATGGTCCGCATAAATAGCAAATGCATAAGATATAAATGAATGTGTAGCACCTGAATCTATTAAAGAACGAGCCTTTTTGCCAAAAATAGATAACGTACTCATAACCACATCAGGTGACTCGTCGGCATCATGCTGAGTCACTGCAAAGACTCTTCCTTGAGTTCTGGGTCGTCCAGCCTGGCCTTTCTGTCTAATACCACTGCTGCCAGCAGCATCAGACTGAGTAGCACTAGTAGCACCTGCTTTGCCTGCCAAAGTATTCTGATTCTGTCTAGAAATGCCAGCACCTGACTGCAAAGAAACCCCCTGTGGAATGCCACCCTGCTGGAAACGAACTGGACACTCTCTCCTTATGTGTCCCGTCTAACCTCAATGATAACACACTCCAATTCCCTTCAGACACTCACCAGGGTGAAATTTCCCGCACAACTGGCACTGGGGAAATCTGGCCACACCAGAGCTATCACTCTGTCCAGGAGTAAATGATCTCTGAGAAGATCTCTGAGTCTGAGTAGGTTACTCCCTGGCTACTGTACTGATCCCTAACTTGACCTCGAGCTCTGACTACCATGAGATCTGGACTTAAAACTACCAGAAGTGGAAACACCTAATCCACCTCCTTTGCGATCCCTCCTCAGTGGCCTAGTCATAGATCTTCCTACCCATGTCTGACTACTGCTTCCAATTTCTGGTCTCATTTGTTGTTGACCACCATGTCGTTCAGACAAACTTTTCTCAACCCTTAATGCTGCTTCTACAAGTTCACCCAAATTTTCATACCCTGATGCAGTCACCACTGATCT